AGTTAGTACTATATGCATTACAGCCTTGTTCAGAACAAAAAATGTCTACAAATATAGAACACGTCGTGATATATATTAGAAAGGGTGACTCGTGTTGGAAGTAGTCAAATACAAGTTAATCGCTAGATGTGTGAAAGAAACCTGGCTTCCGCTTATGGATACAATCATTTTAGCCGCGTAACGTACATATGATGTTGAGAATGATAATTTATGGCTGTAGATGTGATTGACTATCATCCATTCGAGTGTTTTATCTACTGATTTCTATTACTATGGGAGTGAAAGTATCAAGTGTTACTGTGTTGTTCCAAATGAAAATATCAGTCACGTGAATGGTGTTATTTTATATTCCCACTCTGTGACCAGCATTACTTTTACGATTGTTATAAAGCATAACTGTTGGGCATTTTAAATAAACATAAATAAATGAGAACAAGAATAGTGTTTCCCAATTTCGTGTTGTAATACTTCCCATGTATTTCATATGTTTTTTTTTCATAAAAACTATGTATTTGTATGTAATTTACGCGACTGTGTCAATGTCGGTTAGCTCTTGTAAAGCTCTTCCCTGTGACTCTCACTTCAGACGATTACAATGAAAAATAAAATATGAAAAACAATAAGCAAAAGATGTTGGCCAGTTTGAATATTTTGTCAATCTACGAGCAGTAATGTACCCCATACAGAGACGTATATGTATGAAAAGTAGTGTCTGAATAATATGACATCACCAAATTAACATATTACAATTAAGAAGCAGAACAGCACAATTATCTCAGAATTGACATTGAGATAAGTCAACAGAAATAAGCAGTCACTGTATACAATCAAAAAGCATATTCATTGAACTGATTTGAACGTTACTAGCTCTAAACATTATAGAATGGGACGTGAATGAAAATTGTAAATACAAGTAATTGCCTGCGTACTTGAAAGCATGCATAGCTTGGAAATCTTATGTAAGGTGGCACTATACAAGTGAAAACTAACTATTGGGAACAACAATACAACTCTTTCATAGGAGGTTGCCATGTTTTTCTGTCGAAAAGTACCATCCCAAAAGATCCATGACAAAGTAAAAAAGAAGCCTGATAACAAAGAATGAGAACATGATGGACCAATCAAAATGCCGGAACCATTACTAGTTACCGGCCTCTTGTAGCTTGGTGCGCCATAACACTTTAGGCGGTAACCTACCGAAGACGTAACCCTCACGATGAAAACGAAAGTACACACCATGGACAATGATAAAACATAGAGGGCAGATTGCAACGAAATTGTATTTATTTATTTATGAAATAAACAAATCTGATTGGTCCTTGAACGCAATTTGATATTGCGACATCACCAACAATTCAACCAATAAACATACCTATTTTAATGACGAGACAAAACATTTTTGTTGAAACTTTTATGATCAATCTTAATGTTCTACCGATACTTTTACTCATTCACCAATACACCAATTGTTTTAAATTTAATTTTAAGACTCCTCTCCAAGCTCCCTCGTCTGAACTGCCACTACTGTTTGTCAATTTACTGTTACGATGTGTGAAGAAGACTAATATAACTAACACACAGTTTAGTTCTAATGTGTCTCTAATACATTAAATGTATCGATAATTTGTTTAACTTCAGCCGATAAACTGGCCGTAATTACGTAATGCGTTGATGCGTAATGACTTGCAGAGAAGTTGCCGGAAACACTGCAGCAAACTCCAACGTTTACTTACGCAACTCTTTATGAAGGTTATAGCATCATACATCCTAGAAGATTGTGTCATGACCTCCGCCCTCTATAGTTGAACTAGCTTATTACATGGTAATGATTAAATTTGTATATTGAGCTGACTGACACTTACTTAAACATTATTAATAGTACACGATATCACTTCACCTAATACATGTGTAAAATTAAATACTTTTGTGTCTTTTTTTTCACTTTTTGAATGTTTTTAATTTATTTGTCATGTCTGGGATATCATCTTTGTGTAATTGCTTGTTCTATTGCAACACCTTGTAAAATAATTTAACTCTTTTTTGAGTCCCGTAATAGACAATACTTCGTGTGTTTACGCTAGAGTCATTGATTACGGCAGGTGAATATCGGTACCTTTCAAAAATTTATACTGTAATATTTCACCCACTTGTGCTATACTAATGAAGTAAATAATGATGATGAGTCTACATCTGATAACACAGGTGTACATCTTTAAGACAGTAGAATATATTGTGATGAGTGTACTACTTAGATATGAAATAAGACACACATTATACGTCCATATCAGCTTTATTGTATTAGTTTAGCATGCAAATACAGAAATTAGATCTACAAAAAATATGTAGGCCCATGGCCACCGAACTACAACAATGCGTCGATTGTATTCATGGTTCTGGGCATTTAGAACAGCTGCAAGCTGAAATAAAACAACAACGAAAATTTAACGTCATTTTCAAAAATAAAAACGCATAATACGAACAATGACGTCATATTAGTATTATTATGCCAATTCTACGATAATTGCCAGTTTTAATGTTTAATATTATATAAATACAAAACAGTGCTAGTCATGCCTGCCTTCAAAACCGCACATGAGCACACATACTTGTACTTGCTTGTACCTCTCTCAATACCCTTCTCTCAAGTTGAATCTTACATGTAGTTATGACCCACATAAGATTGCGTTTTAATTGAATAAAAATGCAACAAAGTAGAAACAACATTATACATGTTGTAACTTAAGATAGAAATGTTAGTAATAGGTGTAAACATCAGTGTCGCATTATTACACACTAACATACCTTGTACTTCACAAATGAAACCCTTCTCTCTGATATCAACACCAGTGCAATATTCATCATCCCATTTAAAGTCTGTTGTTTTTCTACAAAGACAACAAATTACAATATAATTTACCTATCTGTATAAACAGTAAACACTAGATGTGACCGCCATCGTGAAATAAAAAGTAAATAATGTGCATACGTTGTACATACAATAACAAACACATATATTTGGTCGTACAACCGAATATGGGCGAATACAACTTTCATTTGTTTATATCGGACATAGTAGCATTGTAATGAAAGCAGGAAAATATATACTAATATGATTGGCATAAGAATACCACACCGTATATACAGGCAGTATGGGATCGCATCGATTACGCTCCTGTCATCAAAATAACTGTTGTTGATACCTGTGGTATTCTTACAATAATCTTATATTTAGGGATGGATGAAAGATGGCCAAATATTTTGTCTATGGCTATCATACTCACCTCAGTTGACCACAGTCCTGACCCTGCGGGTTTTTATTAGTGTTGTTATCTGGTTCCCCTTCACCCCAGTTTGTGTAACACACCTCTCCACCATTAATCCATTTAAAGTTGTCCTCTTCATTTCTATCGTTCAGGCCAATCCAAAATCCAGTATCAACCTGATCACCTAAGCCACTGTCTCTTATGTATTGTGTGATAAAATCATCTGTGCGTTTGTCGGGAATTCGTGCCAAGGTTCCTCCAAGACTAGCACATTCAGCTATTGCTTCATCCCAAGTATAGCTTCCAGCGACAATATGGTACTCCACAGCTACGTGGTTACTAATTGTGTATGCTGTAATTGAATAAAACATGTATTTTTAATCGTGTTTAGATTGTTTTGTTAACGTGTAAAGTAAACAGAACCTAGTTGCAGTAACAACAATATATTTAGCTACATTTCAAAAATATGTATTAACTACATTAAAAAAATATGTATTAACTACATTACAAAAATATGTCTTAGCTACATTTCAATAATATGTATTAACTACTTTTCATTGGTATATTTAAGGTATACTTGTATAATAAAGGCTTACATACCATGAGTAGAGAACACACATGATACCAGGACGAATAGGGTAATGTTAATAATCTTCATCTTGATACCAGAACTGAAAAATATCTAAATGTTCGGGAAGTTCAATAACTAAGTTAAATAACATTTAAGTGAATGTTTAATGTGTGTTGAATTGAATAACGATATTTGTAGACGGTTTATGCAGTATTCGAGAGTGACAAGTCAGATTTATACTTACCTGATGACTTCTTCTCTGTCGGACAGTGCAGTGTGGCCTAGCATGAACACTAAGGCGAATTTATAGAACTTCCAGTGTACAAAACAACAAATACATCTATAATCTACTTGAGGCGAGATTCTTTTATTCGTGAATTCAGAATTTTTACGAAATGGCTATGCTAATAGGTTCGTGTCACTGATGATACTAGAAAGCGCGTTTGGAAGCGCGAGATGAACACGTGTTTGTTATCAGTGGGCCTTGTGAGTGCACGTTCGTGGGAGAAAAACTTCTGAAAACATGACCTGTCTATACTGCCTCAAAAAGCGTGATGACGATTATAGTTTAGTTCATTTGTATAGGTCTTTTTATCTCAGGAATTTTGTTTTTGGTAACGAATTGCAATGTTCAAATAATTTTATATTCTACACTGAGATGTTGGCAAAATATTTTAGATGTCTTGTTATAATAATGTTATGTCACATAATATGCAAGTTGTGTAAAAATGTAATAGTAATGATTAGTATGTGAAATCTGCCTGCAAAAATGTCCACGAATTATCCTGGCATTCCTTTATGGAAACACACAGATGATGAAGACGATATTTGGTAATTCTAAAATTTGCTTTAACAAACAATTATTATCACGCTTTTAAAAGAGATGCTCATTTTGCAAAATCGTTTTCCTGCTTAATTATGATTCATTTGTTTTGAATATATGCTTTCAATGTACAATAATGACAAACATGTGTTTCAATAGACTATTTAAACACAATAACTGACACGAATTCTTGCAAAAAAAACATATTTTTAATATTTGCATATTCTCTGATACTCAATCATTGTAACAAGTAGATTTTTGATAGCAAATAGTTGTGCGGTTTGCACGATTAAACATTTATAAATACGCTGATGTGTTCGCGTTAAGTCACACTGCGTGAACTAAGAGGAAGAAGAAGCACTCATACGTAAGTATATCTCTATTCATTTGGTTTGAATCCTGTGATATATTTGTTTCTTTCTGTCATTTATATTAACACTATGAATATGATCACATTGATGCTGCACAGTATTGTCCCTAAGAAACCAGTAACTGAATTATCAGCTCATGTATTCCTTTATGTGCACAATTTACTTGGAGTATATTACTTAAAAAACAGGCCGATTTTACACATGGCGCCAATGAAATCATTAAACAAATTAAAATCTCTAAACAAATAGTTTAATAACTGTGTTGAAATTTCCAAAAAAATGAAGTCGCTTCATTTACAGTATTGGCAGTCCGCTATTTGGCTTTAGCTTAAATTAAACTGACAAACCTGTTTTGTTGTCAAGTTAATTAGAACAGTTTGGATTAGAAATTAAATCTATTTTAAATTCATATTACAGCGGAGAAAGCATATCTTAAATGTTATGTAGTGATTCTTTGTTTAACACATACTTTACTAATCACGTCTTTTACATTCTTTCATGTTCATAATTTGACTGTACATATATTTTTATAGCGTCGCTCAGTTCTTTTATCACCATGACGTGTACTATCTTTACCCTCATTTTGGTCAGCACGATATCCTGCCTATATTCTGTTCATGGTATGTATAGAAATTGAAATTATTATTGTATAATTTACCTACTGGGTTTGTGTGCAACCTATAGTCATTAGAACAATGATAGTTGTTCGTCTTGTATGGACAACTATAATGCAACTACATTAACCACAGTACCTTACTGAATAATATTATTGTTCCCATTGCAGCAAAGATGTTTCATCGACTGACTTTATATATCCCGTCCCGGTCGTTTTCTGCCTATGACAGACCAGTTTCAAATAATTGTGATTACGGTAATTAACACATTCAACAACGTTCGAAACAATTATATACTTTTCTTCAATTCAGGACATGTGCTTCTAAATCACGTTGTCGTGGAGTATGAAATCTACACTGATGCAGTTACTTGGGATGAAGCATACAAAGATGTGAAAGTGAGATGGACAATTGGCCAGGATTTCCCGATAAACGCACAGACGATCTTC